ACAATTCCTTTCGTTATCCACGTATGGTTCCATTTTTTTTCATTCCTTCTTGTTTCACTTTCCCGAGAGAAATTAAAATAGAGTCGTAATCAACTGAAGCTCGGCGAAATTATTCTTCTCTCTTATTTGCACAAAGTTTAAGTGAAGAGCGCATATTCTCACACATTAATAAAATATTAAAACATGTTTCGATGGAAGATAGACGATTGCTTCGTCATTTACATAGAGATTAGATTCTTTTGCTGCTTCTCTTTGGCGTCTTAATAGCAGAAAGAAATCTGTTGCTGAAGAACTGAATGTTGGGTGTGGATGTGGATGTGGAGGGGAGTGGGTTGTGGGTGTGGGTGTGGGTCTGTGTGGATGTTGGTGTGTGGGTGTCGATGACAGAATAATCCACACCCATACCCACACTCACACCCACGCCATCACACTCATACTCACACCCACACCATCACACTCATACTCACACCCATCCACACTCACACCCTCATACCCAAACGCTCGCACCGATGCCCACACCCACACCCCCACACACTACCGACGCATACACACCCACAGCCACACCAAACTTGATCTTTGTTGTATTTTCTGTCTTTGATTGTTTTTGAAGAAAAAGATTAAATATTTTGTCTTTCTGCTTTTTTTAGTACGTATTTTTGATCATATAGGTGAAATAATGATACACATCGTCAGAGTGACGTAGAAACAGAAATGACAAAAAATGCATTTTGTATGTCTTGAAATTTATTCAATTTGTAAAGACGTTTATATCTGAAGATATAGATAGTAGTGATGGAACCAATTCTATCTCTGATTAGTATGTTGTATTGCTATACACTAAAAGTGTTGATTATCGAACTGATTAGAATGATTTATGTTTGGTATTTTATATTAACTTCAGTTATATATATACCATCAATGAAAACTTTTATCCTGAGATAGAATAGTTTTTATTTAATTCTTTTATTTATTTTTTAGTTGATGTGACATTCAGGGCTACTGCCACGCATCAGTGGCAATTAAAGGACCATCGACATGCTTAATATTTCTGTTGAATAAACTTTTTTCGCATGTTTTCATTTTCTTTTCATGAATAGAAATAAATTCATGAAGTTCCATATTCTAATAAGCCAAGAGTAACATAGAAAAACAGAAAAATTTTAGTTTTTGCGTTCGCCAATCAGTAAACAGGGCAAATATAAGTGTAGGCCCTACAATCTAATAAAAAAGAGATGTCTGAATCGGATTCAACAAATGATCGAACACGTGACGGTCAAAATAAGTTAGTCAAGAAACAAGATTCATTTCAAGAAATACGAAGTTTATCATTCAACAAAAAGTCATTTCAAACAAGATAATTATACAAATATGGATGAATAAACTAAAGTATATTGACTTGTGAAGTGTTCACTAAAATGAGGATGATTGTGTAGCATTAAAATAATTATTCTATTCAAATTTGATTTTGTCTGAGACATTCAAAACTGAATGAAATTCTAATTTTAATTCTCAAAATATATATCTATTGTAATCTATGCTGGTGGGTGTGAGTGTGGGCGTGTGTGGATGTGGGTGTGGATGGATGGGTGCAGGTGTGGGTGTGGGTGGGTGTGGCGAGTGTGGGTGGGTGTGGCGAGTGTGGGTGGGTGTAGGTTTGATTCTTGTCTTCATGTATATCAACAGCCACACCCGCACCCT